AACCCCGTTTCCCTGACTACCTGGCTCCGATCGCCTGCCTACCTGCACCGCTCGTCCACGAACGTGACACGCACTAAGTATGTCGTCAATAAATCATTTAAGAATATCCATCCATCCATCCATCCATCCATCTCCTAACCACTTACCCCGGTCAGGGTCATGGAGATCCTTTTCCGATCAGGACAGGTTACAAGGCTGGGACCACCCTGGACAAGGTGATTAAAGAATATAATCTTAGCTAATGAAACAAACTTCTTTTCTCATTTTTCCCCTATGAGTAGAAACAAATGTGCCTGTGCATATAACTTACAACATTGTCTGTATATGTCATCATCATCACTCATGTCGTCTGTAATGAAGTGACCAAGATATTTAATATTTTTACAGACCTCAAGCCTATTATTAGATCATTTAAACTCAGGAAAATTGAGCCACTTGTCCTGCTTGGTTCTACATATTAAAACATTCACTCTTGCCAGCATTATATTTGATATCATATTGCACCATATTCCGTACAAATAGTAAGAAGCTGCTGCAGCCCAGCACTACTGGGACTAAATATTATAAGGTCGTCTGCATACATAAGGTGATTAACCAACAGCCCACCAATCATACAACCAGTGTTGCAGGCTTGCGGTATGATAGCCAGCTCATTAACATATAAATTAAAGAGCGGACAAAATCCCTCGCTGCCTAACACCATTGGACACTGTAAAGGGGGCAGATATACTACCCCCCCCATTTAATATGCATCTTCTGGTGGGCAGACCAATAGGCAAGAAGCCTCACAATATACCCAGGCACTCCTCCTAGCTTTAACTTAATAAAGAGTAGTTTGTGATTTACTCTGTCAAATGCTTTAGAAGCATCAATAAAACACATAAGAACAGATGAATTTTTGGCCCTGTAAAGATTCACTATTTCCTTAAGTGCATATATACACATGTCTGTGCCATGCTTTGGTTTAAATCCAAACTGATTATCAAGGGAAATAATGTAGTCACTCACCCTATCAAGCAAAATACTTTCCATAACCTTAGATAAGGTGCTGGCTAATGGCTAATTGTGGGCAGTGGTGGCTTGATGGTTAGGGAAGCCCACTTGTAATCGAAAGATTGCAGGTTCAAATCCCCCACCAGCAAGTCACCACTGAGATACTGAGCAAAGTACTGCCCCCAAGCACTGCTCCCCGGGCGCTGAATTACCTGCCCCCTGCTATGTCACAAAAGTCACATATGGGTTAAATGCAGAGGACACATTTCATTGTTGTGTGGTGTGTTAACAATGACCACTGATCACCTAATTCTATGGACCTATAGTTATCCAGGCAACTAACTTTTCCCACTTTATCCTTAATTACTGGGATAAGTACGGTAGATATCATTGAATCTGGTAATATTCCATGGATCATCAAACCAGTGAAGCTGAGAGACAGTAGAGCCTCAAACTAGCATATTTCAAATGCTCAGCATTAATTAGGTCCATGCCACATGCTTTGTTGTTCGGAAGTTTCTGCGTGGCATCATACACTTCATGTGTCCTTATAATTATTGATTCATCACTCATTTCAGAGTCCTCAACAAATGGTTCACTTCTTAAACAATTAAGAAGGGAACAATAGTGCGGTCTCCATAATGCTGCAACATTATCTTCTCCCGAGATGCCATCAATAGTGCAAGGAGGAGAAGATTTACAATTATTCATGACACTCACCTCTTTCCAAAAGCCAGTAACATCATTACACATCATTTTGTTGGCCATGGAATCAGCCCTCATGGTTTGCTCATTTTTAGATATAAACCAAGCAGCTACTTAAATCCAGCATTGGCAAGTTTTTTATGGTCAAACTCTGGGCCTTGCCTTGGTCTTCCAGCCAAGGCCCAGAGATCATAAGCTTCACGAGNGAGTGGAGGTTTGGTCTAGTGGGCGAGAAATGTTGAAAGCCAGGATTGGGCAAGACAGGTAGGGTGATGGTAAAGGATACTAAGTGGTGATCAGAAATGTGATGTCGGTGGCTGGAGAGGGGCGGCTGAAAAGCGTCATATACAGTAAGAATGACACGTGAACTCAACCAAAGAAGTTCCCCGTTGGCTATGGAAGCAGCAACTTTGTAAGGCGACAACATGAACCACTGTACCATCATGCCACTGTACTAGGCTCGTGTAACATTTACATAACTTACACATTTAGTCTGTCTGCAATTCTTGGCCAAGCCAACTCCCTGGCTGTGTTTATGGCCACAGTATTGCCTTATTTAGTGATTACATCTTTGTATTTTTCATACAGCTCCATCAGCAGCGTTTGTTCTGCGGCGAAAAAAAACACCACTCTCGTTTTACACGCTTTCCGACTCATTTGATCTATCTATCGTTCATCCATTCATTCGGGCTTCTTAAATATCTTGGGTGTGCGCACTAAGTATGTCGTCAATAAATCATTTAAGAATATCCATCCATCCATCCATCCATCCATCTCCTAACCACTTACCCCGGTCAGGGTCATGGAGATCCTTTTCCGATCAGGACAGGTTACAAGGCTGGGACCACCCTGGACAAGGTGATTAAAGAATATAATCTTAGCTAATGAAACAAACTTCTTTTCTCATTTTTCCCCTATGAGTAGAAACAAATGGGTGAAACACAGAGGGAATTTCAGCAGAGAATTCAGATGAGAGAGAAGGAGCTGCAGGAGCTGAGAGAGGCTGTGGCCTCAATCACAGTGAGTATGAACCTGAAGAGAAGATAACAGCTGGCTTGTAAGGAGCATTTCAGGCTTGAATCGAGGCTCTTCCAAGACAGGCGACTTACATCCTTTAAGGTTTAATGTAAGGTCACTGTGGGATATAATGAGTCAGGGTTCTACCAGAGAGGTGAGACAATGGCACCAGACAGGAGGGCTGAGCTTTTTCTCAAAAAAAAGTTTTTCTCAAACTGGCCTTAAGTGATATTTCTCATAATAAAAGGTGACTTTTCATACAGCCGTGTAAAGCAATGGAACAACAAAAATTCACCAATAAAACCCAATGGTGACAACCAACCTGCCCCATACAGCCACCAGTTTCTGCCAAATCCCTGC